TTTTCTTTTTTTTTTTTTGGGGGGGGTACCCCCTTATAATTAGCAAAGACCAGTCACTGGAAAAGGGATTATCTTTGGTAGTGTGTCAGAGGGAAAAATATGAGAAAACCCTTAACAAGAGGGATTGACAAAGTGACGGCAAAAATGAGCTCAAACAAACTAAAATTGTGAGGATGAGGCAGTGTTTTGTTCTGTTGTACACAGAATTGCTATTAATTGGACACAAGTTGAAAAGATAACGAAAATTTTCTGTGTTTTGAAGCCCCTCCTATATCGAATCCTGAACATTCATCTGCCAACTTGCAGTATTCTAGTACTTTGACATGGGATATAGAAATCAGCCCACACCAAATATTTCATGGCAGCTTCAAAATGCCTATGTAAGGGTAGCTTATGCCCATTTCATTGATCTGGAAATTGAGACCAGAGAAAGCTAGTGGCTGAGTTTAGACTGCTCTTCAACTGCTGAGTATAAAGCACTGCGCTGCTTCAGGTGAAAGAATCTTGCAGAGACCGGCAGATGAAGATACGCACCCCAGGGGCCTTGGAAGTAAAACCGTCAGGTCTAGGATGGGCATGTGTACAGAATAAGCAATCACTTACCTGGAAGCTCAATGTCCAAATGCAGAAACAACCGTCCCCCCACCCCCACCCCCTACCCAGCACACACACAGAACAGGCCTTGGGTGTGAGGGCTGTGAAGGTGGGGCAAAGAATCCAGTCCTCTTAGCATGCATGCTTTGAGCCATAATTGATTCCATTGCAACTGGTTCTTACTATGTGGCTCAAACCAAAGAAAATAGGAGCTTCGTATTCAAGTAACCGACACCAACACAAATAATTAGGGCAGAAACCTTTGCACAGTCCACGCTCAAATATTGATCTTGGGGATAGAAGGTGAAAGACGCCGCTCTGTACAGGCTGGTTTCTAAGACAAAAGCATGATAATTTTCCAGGATCCTGCAAGGCAAATTGGTTCTTACACTGCTGAAGTCATCACAATTACCCGGTTTTCCTTAAAGTGCAGGGTCCTGTGCCTGCTACCAGGGACTCTGCCTTTTGGGTGGGGAGAGGGGGGGGCGTGCACAGTAGGCACTTTAACAGGCCCACGCCCCTCCTGCGCAGGTGCCTATGGAACAGGGGGTCGGAACAAGCTTAGCAGCACTGCCCGATGCAGGAGGCGCACGGTGGCGCCGGGCAGCAGCCTGCAGCCCTCCCGGAAGTCTGGAGTCTCCGCGAGTGCTCCTCGCTGGCTGTCTCGCCGGCCCGGCCCGGCCCGGCCGCCGGGCCACAAGTCGTGGGCACTGGGCTAAGGCAGGCCACGGGCAGAGCCGAGGGCTGTGTCGGCGAGGCCTTCCGCCGACAGCGCGCCCGCAGCCTCCCCTCCTGCCGACGGCTCGGCCCCTCCGAGCGGCGCCACTTACTGGCCATGGTTCTCGCAGGCAGCACCATGGGCCTCGAGGACAAAGCTGAGATCTCGGCGGACGACAGCAGGGCAGCGGCTCGAGGGGCGGGGCGAATGAGGCGCAGCGGCGAGGGTGGGGCCTCGGCGTGCCTTGCTCCGCCCCGTCGGCGAGTCAGCGGGCTGCCAGGGGAGGTCATGTCATTGCACTCCTCATGTCATTGCAGTAGAGCTGACCGAAAGGATACTTACTATACATGGTCAGGAAACTGGAATGCGCTGCAAAGTAAAGGGGCAAAGAGCGGGTGGTCAACTTCGGGGTAGTAGTGTACCTGCTAAACCATCTGACTCGCATCTCGAAGGGTCTGCAAGTTCTTTGTGTAAGAACGGAACTTGTCAAGCAGGTTGTATGACCCCTGTGACTGTGTAAAACCATATAGTGGCTTGAGCTCGCTGAACGTTTGACAGAAAATGGAATGATCCTGGTTGGTTTAGGCATGCAACGTGTCAGTAGGATCTGACTTACATAGAAGGGGAGGGAATAATAGATACAAACAAAACCCCCAACAAATGATTCCTCAAATATACTGACATCAGGTATTCTGTTTTAGGGTTTTTTTTTCATTTACATTAGATTATTTTTGGTATAAAAATAATAAAATTTATTTTATACTTCTATCCTCTCTAGTACTCCAGAATAGTTTAAATATTGAAAAGTTTCATCTGTAACATTTTTAAGACCATTTTGAGGATAACTCGGGCATTTTAAGGTTCTTGGGTGTCACAAATGGTTAGCATTCCACTACAAATCAGAAGGTTGTTGATTCAAACCCATCCAGTGGCTCTACTACAGAAAAGGTTGTTTGTTTCTTATAAAGATTACCGGCCAACCTCTTTCAGCCGGAAAGAGAAAATAACATAAGCATCATGTTCCAGTTTGTCGTACTGTATTGACTTGTGTGTTGCTGTGGTCCTGAAAGGTGTGTCACTGGTATTTCAAATACCAGCAGGGTCACCTAAAGTGGACAGGTTTCAGCAGAGCTTCCAGGCTGAGTAAAGACGATGAAGAAGGAATAGGCTGTCCACCTCAGAGGAATTAACTACTGAAAACTCTATGGGTAGCATCAAAACATAGTCACATACTGTAAACCTCATGATCAGAAACAGAATAGAGAAAGTGCCAGGAGATGAATCCAAGTCCGAAGGCACTCAAAATATGACTGAGGAAGAGCTGCTGTCTCAAGGTAGAGTGGACCATAATTATGTAGATGGAGTAAAGCCTGTGGGAGTAAAGGGTTTGGGGCCCTCATTTGCTCTTGGGGCATGACTCATAATGAGAAGAGAAAGCTGCAAACACCAATTAATAATTGGAACCTGGAATTTGCAGAGTATGAATCTAGGAAAATGGGAAGTCATTAAAAATGAGATGGAACGCATAACGATCAATATTCTAGGCAAAATGGACTGGTATTGGTCAGTTTGAATTAAAAAATCCTATGGTTCACTATGCCAGGAATGATAAACAAGAGGAATGGCATTGCACTCACTTTAAAAAGGACATTTTAAGATCTATCTCGAATTACAATGCTATGATAGGATAATGTCTACCTACATACAAGGGTATCTAACCCAGTCAGTGCAACTACTATTTAAATTTATGCACCAACAACTAAAGCTATTGATGCAGAAATTGACCAAACATGCCATCAGAAAGCATTGAAAATTCTTGGCAGTTGGAATGCAAAAGTTGGAAAGACGGAACAGTAGTTAGAAATATGGCCTTGGTGACACAAACAAAACTGGAAATTCACATGATAGAATTTTGCAAGACCAATGACTTCAACAAAAATAACAATACAAAAATAATCTTTCAACAATACAAAAAAACATGGATTTTTGCAGATAAAATACACAGAAATCATAGTTGACAACTTCAGAGGAAAGAAACTATGGAGAAGCTCATTATCAGTACAGAAATCCAGACCAGGGCTACTGGAACAGACCACCAATTGCTCATATGTAAGTTAGGGTTGATACAGAAGAAAATTGAAACAAGTCCATAAGAGCCAAAATGCACTTCGTTTATCCCACCCTAATTTCGAGAACATTTTTAAAAGAGATTTGATGCAATGAACACTAATTACAGAAGACCTGATGAGCTGTGGGATGACATCAGGAATATCATTCATGAAGAAAGCAAAAGGTCATTAAAAACAGGAAAGAAAATATCAAGATGTCCGAAGAGACTGACACTTGTTCTCAATCGTATAGTAGCTAAAGCAAATAGAAGAAATGCTAAGTCAAAGATCTGAACAGTACATTTTAGACAAAGTCAAATACAATGAAATGTGCAAAGACCCCGAGTTAGGAACCCAAAATTTAAGTACACAGTCAGATCTTAAACCTTAAGAAAAAATTTAAAATAGTAAAGACTTGAGTTTCAACAGTGTAAGATTCTATGAGCAAAATATTGAATGCTGCAGGAAGCATCAAAACAAGATGCAAAGAATACAGTCACTGTACCAGACAGAACTAAGTTGACATGCAATCATTTGAAGAGGAAGTGTACGAGGAACAACCAATAGTACTGAAAGAAAAAGTTCAAGCTGCACTGAAAGAAACAAGCTGATGAAGTAGTGCAAGTATTCTTTTGTCTATGCCAGCTACTTGGCCAACTGAATGGAAGAGATCCATATAGGTACCCCTTACAAATAAAGGTGACCCAACAGAATGTGTAAATTATAGAACAGTACCATAACTGCTAGAGGTCCCGGCCGGATTCAGAAGAGGCTGTGGAACAATGGGTATCATCAAACTTACTGCGATCAAGTTGATGCCAACTCAAGCGACTCTACAGGACAGGGCAGTACTACTCCATGCAATTCCCAGACTGTAACTGTTTCTGGGAGTAGAAAGCCCTTTTTCTCTCAAAGCAGCTCATGATTTTGAACTGCTAACCTTTCTGATTGCAGCCCAACACATGACCACTACACCACAAGGGCTTCCTAAGGATATTATAGCTGATATCAGATGGATATTGGCTGAAAGCAGAGAACATCAGAAAGAAGTTTGCTTGTGTTTCACTGACTCAAAGCAGAGGCATTTGTGTAGGTCATAACTAGCTTTGGACATCCTTAAGAATGAGAATCCTGGAACACTTCGTTGTTCTTTTGCACAAAGTACACATGGGTCAATAGGTAGTTGTGGGAACAGAACAAGGGCATATGGCATAGTTTAGTGTGCATCAGGGTTCTATACTCTCACGATACTTATTCAATCTGTATGCTGAGTAAATATTCAGAGATGCTGAATTACAGAAGAATGTAGCATCAGGATTAGATAAAGGCTGTAACAACCATTTCCAATACGCAGATGACAAAACCTTGTTTGCTGAAAGGGGGAACTTGGAGCCCTTGTAATGAGATCAAGGATTGCAGCGGTCAGTATGAATCAAAACTCAATACACAGAAAGCAAATTCTCATCAATTGAAACAATGCGTAACATAATAATCAATGGGAGAAAAGATTAAAGTTGTCGATGATTTGGATATACATTCTGTTTGGGTACACAATCAATGCTCATGGAAGAGATCAGAGGATACACTGCACAGAGTTAATTGTTATACAAGACCTCTTTAGTGCTGAAAAGCAAGCTATTACTTTGAGGACAAGGGGGCGCCTAACCCAAGCCATGGAATTTCAATTGCCTTATACGGATATGAAAGTTGGACACTGAATAAGGAAAATGGAAGAATCTATGCATTTGAATTATGGTGCCAGCAAACAATACTGAAAGTACTATGGACTGCTAAAAGCACAAATCTATCTTGGAAGAAGTACAGCCAGAATGCTCCTTAGAAGCAAGGATGGCGACACTTCATCTCATGTACTTTGGACAGATTGTCAGGAGAGATATCACGCTTGATAAAGGAGTTTAAACAGTCCATGTTAAAGCAACTAATTTTCACCTGAAATTTGTTATTAGCTTTAAACTACTTTCTTCCTCCTTCATTCTTGAGTAACAGAAATAAGAATATAATACTTACAAACTCAAAACATGAACATTTAAATTCTATTACAATGATAACTCTCAATTTTCTGATGTTCCTGGGTATCAGCAGATTTATAAATGTAGAGAGGAATAAACAAAGAAACATTTTCATTAAAAACAGTTTTGCATAAACTGTACTTGTTTATTTACAATTTTAATTTACAAACAGTAACACAAACATCTTTACATTAATATGAAAAAAAGCCCCATGGCAGAGTGGGGAGAAATCAGACTTTGGACATTTCTACAAGGAGTCAAGAAAAGGGAAAAGGGAACAGTGGCAGGGGAAGAGTTATAAATAACAAGAATTGTACGAGGTGCAATTTCATACAAATGTCCTCAACCACTCAAATTTTAAAAATTTAGGTATCAGAATAAAATTTCTTGAATTATGTTGCCTTCTGTTCACTTGATTGCCATTAACTATACTAAAATACTGGCTGTTAACAGGGTATATCTAAATATTTCTCTTATCAACCGATGAACATAGAGCATGAAAGATTGTGTGGATTTGCTATTTTCCAAATAGCTTTCATAAGTTATTTCATAACCCCAAATGCACTCCCTTTTTAAAATCAAATGTGTCTACTACACATTTCAATAAATTAAAATGCAGACTGCAAAATAAATTAGATCACTTTCTTTTTTTGTATTAAAAGAAAAAACTTGTTTTCAAATCAATGGAACTTTAATAAATGAAAATCAAAAGAAGATAAATTTCTGTAAATGAAAAGAATTATCATTCATTAAACTGATTATTTGGCTTTAAGTGGAAGTTAGTGTGGTCACAGACCATAATCTCAATGAGGAGAAATACTTGTTTATAATATCCTAAATCAAAATATCCAATTTATAATAAAGACTTTTTTCCAGATGAAATTCTGATCCCCAAATGGCAATTTTAGGCTCACATGCTTATTTTATTATAAAGCTTCTGTTACTCCTTAGAAACTATGAGGAGGTGCTTTAGTACTTCTGAAGCACTGTTTGCAATTTATTAGCTAAAGGTGTAAACGTGATTTAGAAACTGAAATATCAACATTTTCCTAGTTGAACTATATTTTTCAGTTGGCTAGAATATTCCTTTATTTCATTAAAAAGAATTCACTCTTTTTAAGAACAGAAACAGTTAATTAGCCTGTGTAAAACTTTTTAGTTTCTGATATTTCTCAGAGGATAAAAGTAAAAGGGAGTCTCTCCAACTAATTCTATCTCTAATTTTCAGTGAAAATATTGCCAAGTATATTTGTATATGGTTATTTTTAAACCTAAAAGTGATGCATGTTCCCTTAGAACAGCTCTTCAAAATAGAACTGTTTGTTGTACCCTTGGTCCATGAGGGTATGGGATTAGTTACTTCAAATTCACTTAGTAAAACACTTTACAAAACTGAAAATGCAAAAGGAGGTTTCAAAATTTTTTTTAACTTTTCAGAGATTGATTATAATTTACACTTTTGTAGACTGTTATTCAAGCACCCCCACAAGCACATGAAAGGTATCTCTAATTAGTATTCAGTCAGGAAAATAGGTCCATGTTTTTCTTAGTTGCCTTCATTTCTTTTTAAATGGCTTCTTTTAGATTAACTGTCCAAAGCATCCAACACTTTCATGATCTGTTGTTTTATGGCTTTGGTAGCATCCCCTGCATTTGGAATCAAGTACCTATGGGAAAAAGAAGAAGAAAAAGATATATATCTGTGTATCATGCTTTTAAAGTAGTTGTAATCTCCTGTGAATAAAAATTTGCTTTTCTAAAATAGAATTGGGAGCAGAGAAAATTCCTGCTCAGGTCACAAAAAATCAATCTCTCACTAAATTTTAGTTGAAAATGCTTGTTATTAAGCTTGATGTTCAGGAGACAAAATGATTCCAAAAGGGCATACTCTTTCAGCCTCACCAGCGCATTTTAAACTTATAAGATACCAAGTTCTCAGATATCTTTTAAACATTTTATCTCAGCAAGTGAATTTACTTTATAATAAAAAATTATAATATTTTAAATATTTTTTCATTTATAACTTACATCATTATCTTCTTAGCATTCAGTTTATTAAGTAAGTTTTGTGTGATGTTGAAATACGCCAGAAAAAATACTTAAATAAGCAGCTGTTTACTTACCCTTTAAAGCTAATTACATTTATCTGATAATGATGACCAGATATCATTGATTAGGTTCCAAACATGACAGCCCCATGTGCATCAGAGTAGAACAGTGTCGCTCTATTGGGGTTTGTTTGTTTTTTTAAATCATTTTATTGAGGACTCGTACAACTCTTAGCACAATTCATCCATCCATCCATTGTGTCAACATTTGTACAGTGGTTGCCATCATTTTCAAAACATTTTCTTTCTACTTGAGCCCTTGATTATCAGCTTCTCATTCCCCCCCTCCCCCTAATCCTTGATAATTTATAAATTATTATTTTTTCATGTCTTACCCTGACCGATGTCACCTTCACCAACTTTTCTGTTGTCCATCCCCCTGGGAGGGGGGTATATGTAGATCATTGTGATCGGTTCGCTTTCTCTTCCTCCACCTTCCCCTTACTCTCCTGGTATGGCTACGGTCATGAGGGGTTTATCAGTCTCTGGTCTAGCCAGATTTGTATAGTAGAATTGGGGTCATGATAGTGGGAGGGGGGAAGAGGGGAGCGGGGAAGCATTAAAGAACTAGAGGAAAGTTGTATATTTCACTGGTGCTATACTGCTCCTTGACTGGCTCGTCTCCTCACCACAGTCCTTCTGTAAGAGGATGTCCAATTGCCTGGAGATGGGCTTTGGGTACCCACTCCACACTCTCCCTCATTCACAATATGTTTGATGCCTGATCCTATCAACACCTCATGATCACAAAGGCTGGTGTGCTTCCTCCATATGGGCTTTGTTGCTTCTCAGCTAGATGGCCACTTGTTTATCTTCAAGCCTTTAA